AAAAATTGAATTTAAAAATGAATAATGATCCACAACAAAATATGGGACCATCACTGACGCGGTATTTTCCAGATATTTAGAGGATATCAAGTCTCAAACTTATGTTTCTTATTTTAGTTACCATAAACCTATAGTTTCAATGATAAAAATTCCTGAATAATCTACATGTATTGTAAGATAATAAAAATATTTTAAACAATATTAACTTCTCATTTATTCAATAAAAGAAAAAAATTTGTTTTCTTATCGGTCACCATGCTCAAAAAGTGTAACTTGAATTAATATAAACAAAAAACTTGAATTAATATCAAAGAAAAAAAATACTACATAAATAAAATAAATAAATAATTATAATTGCATAAGTTGATTAAAAATGCTATGCAATAGCTTTACCGCGGCAGTCCCCGAGTGCCAGACGTATTTTTTGTTTTTAACGAGTACACTTTACATACATACTCTTCAATAATTTGAATTACCTTATTGGATGTTATTAATGCTGTATCTTCACTTCGTAGGAGTTTAATAAAAGCATCTTGAAAATTTCCATTTTTCTTTAAAATACTAAAAGGTCTCTTCTTTCCTTTACGAAAGAAAGCAGGATTGTAATAATTTCCTGTAAAAATGTGGCATATGGCGAGTGAACAAGATAATTGATCTCCTAGCTTGGCATAAATTTTATTTATGTTTACGTATATTTTTTTTACTTATGCTTAAATCAATTAATATTTGAATTTGACCCTTTAAATACTTAAATTTTGGTGTCAGCTTCTTCATGATAACAAGAAAGGTTATAATCAATAACTCTTTTTATTTTATTTTCACTTGATACCTCATAAGTGTAACATTGATCATAATTAAGTTTAATAGTCTTTCCTTCCATTAATATAATAAATTCATCTCTTGTCCAATATTCTCTTAGAAATTCAACAAATTTTTCTTTAAAGTTGGTACTCCTCAATAATTTGCTGAATTCAGCAGGACGGTTATTGTCTCTACGTAAGACGTCATATTGTGAGTCCTCTTTACCTCTCAAATCATGTTCAAAATCTTTAATACTAGGTTTTTGTACTTGTCAAATATATTATGTACTTCTTTTCTATTATATGTAAGTATATTCAATATATGTTTCGAGATTTTACCATAACTGTTTGGAACGTTCTTCAGAGTATGTAGTAAATCCATCAACTAGGTGAATGTCTGCTTCTGGAGGATTTAAGATTTCAGTTGCTGATTAGAAATTTTAATCCTTTCTAAGAAAGTTGTAGGCTGCTTAAATTGATCTTGAATTGTTAATATTTTCTACCTGTAGAGATTACATACTTACCTTATTTTTATTGATTAAAATGACTAGAAAATTTAAGACAAGAATTAAAATAAATTGGTGTTTTTAGAAATTTTAGGAAGAAAACCAAAGATTTAATTTTGAAACATTTTATTTTAAAAATTATCGGTCACTTATTTATGATGTTATATTGGGGGTTATCTCCTGTGTCATAAAATTTTTGCTATAATTTATTTTCAAATACATCACCTGCTTTTAGAATTACTTTTCCCTTAAAAAATGTTTTTCAAGCACTAAATCCCAAAATATTTATTACTTAGGTAACAAACTATGCTAACCGCTGCAACTGTACTGTGTCAACAAATCTAGCACGACGCAGTGACTATCCTCCTGTTTAATAGATATCGTCGCATGATAAGAAAAAACTATCTCAACTTTGACGCCTTTCCTCTACTGTCTATTTTGCGTTTATAACTATTGTTCCGGAAATTTTCTTAGCTAATATTCTATTTTATAAATTTTGTTTTGTAACCATTCTTTTAGCCTTTTAGTTCCGCTTTGCTTGTGTTGGATTGAATAGTAAATTACGTTCATGTGCAGAAGAAGGAAGTATGGTACTGAGGTTGCCAGTTACCGGTCAGTAACGCGCTACAGACCGCAGACTTATCTTGGCACCTAATTTTCAGGCAATTAAAAGTTACATATTTTGCAATAATTATATCAACTAATATTCAAAATTTTGTATTTATTCATCAAAAAATTATCTAATTTATATTACGCAGCAATCGTCCTCTTCCTACTCCACTGCCTTGCCGTATATACTAAGAAGTATCTGAGAGCAACATAATAAACCACAAAATAATACTAAAATAAAAGTAAAAATCGAGTTAGAGAACACAGCATATACGAGGGGAAGGTTAGAGGTCCCAACCTGACCCTGACCTATCACCTCTGAACGCCGTCGCCTCCACGATGGTGTACACAAGCCACTTATACACTTAACTTTGAGGTTTTCAAAGACGCGGTATTGTGAATGACGGGCCCAAGTGTTTTTTTGGTACTTTAAAAATGTTTAATTTAATAAAATGTATTGTTAAAAAAGGTTAAGAAAAGTGGTGCATACATAAAAAAAATCAAAACATTGATAAAGTACTCTTATCTAATCGATGAAAATGTTGAAAATTTGGAATAAGTGTCTTTGTTTGGCTTTCGGAGTGAATCTTGAAACGGATAATGTATAGTATCATTAACAATTTAGTGAATTTATTAGTGTTTTTGTATTATAAATTTATTCCAAATATGGATTTTTTAACAAATGTCAAATGTGAACCTGACTGGGATTACTTATTATCGTTTGGTAAGATTTTCAAACAAATTCGAAAATATATACAGGGTGCTTCATAAATAATTGCGAAAATTGTAACTTATCCAAAATATGACAATTTAACCTTAAATGTTTACCTACATAAAATAATCCTCCTAACAGAACAGACATTTAAAACTATTTTTACTCAATGTTAAAATACCTTCCAATATTTTTTGTTTATGTTTGGTAAAAAATATATACATGTTGGGACGAATTAAATTGTCGTAGATAAATTTTATCTCTATTACCAGAGGAATCGGTAACCAATAAATTGTGTAATCAAATTTGACGAAAGTATTATGAGATTCACATAAGCAATGCAATTAAATCGAAATAAGGACAATAAGAAGGTATCAGAAAAGATGTCATTATGACGATAATTACAGTGGCGTAGAATTTAGAGGGTGAAACTAGGTATCTATCCCTACTCTACGCCTCTGGTAATAAGGAGAAACTGTATTCTCTAAAAATTTAAAGTATCCTAACATGCATAAACGTTTCGTAAAGAGAAAACAAAAATATATTGGACGTGATCGTAACAATGAACAAAATAGTTTTTTGTATTAAGTGTGTAAAATTAGTGTTTTTTTAATGGCACATGAGTGTGTTAATTTCTCTCGAATATGCCATGAAAACACGAATTTTATACACGAAATACAAACAACATTTTTTGTACAACTGTCAATGTGAATTTACATCGTCTGAAATATATTAAAAATAAATACTTCCAATACATTTTGACGTGGTTTTTTGTCCCGATAAGTTATCGTTTCAAAAAGTAATATTTCATGTTTATTTTGGGAATTATTTTGCCAGTAAAAAAAAATCACTGTTAAAAAAAGTAAACATTTACTCATAAATCTCAAGTTTCTTTGACAGTTGTATAAAAATATTTTTTTCTATACCCACATGGATATTAGCTTATCTACGCATAGACTACAAAACGAAAAATTATGCAACTGAATGAATATATTTCATATCCATTCTAGGTAGTGAGATAACTGCAAAAAAATTAAATCCACCAATCACAGTTCATATTTTGGTCACCCAGCAACTATTATTTTTTAAATTGTATATAAGTGACAATCCTGTCAAACTAATAATAAATTGTTAGTATATGTTTTAGTTATTGATAATAAATATACGTAAAAATTAGATATTCTTGTGTAGAATCGATATATAATAGCATTTCTATTTTTATTTCTTCCACATTTACAAATAAATCTTAAATTTTAATCAAATTATATGACATTTAATTACGAGTATTGAAATTAAAATGTTGATTGGCGATAGAAGTGAGGACACAGCGTTTGGCTTCCATTCGAGAGATACGGATTCACATCTGGGCTGGGGACTAATTAAATTAAATATTTTTTTTATGGTTATTTTATTTTATAAATGTTAGTCATAAATTATTTTAAAATTAGTTATTTTGTCTTAATAACCTAAAATAATTTTTTATTTGTAAATTTTCATTAGTAGGTCTTAGAAAAAATATATTGTTTAACTCTTGTTGCACAAACTACTATTTTCTACACCCAAATGGATATTATCTATTCTATACATAGACCACAAAACAGAAAAGTATGCCATTGCGTTCAACCGAACGGATATACATTTCATATTTATTCTATCTAGTAAGAATATTGCAAAAAAATTAAATCCACCAATCACAGTTAATATTTTGGATACCCAACTACTATTATTTTTAAACTTTTAAATAAGTGACTTCTGTCAAACTAATTGTCAGTATATTTTTTAGTTATTGAAATTAAATATATATGGAAATGAGTTATTCTTGGGTAAAATCCATAAATAATAGAACTTTTATTTTTTTCGTCTATAAATAAACCATAAATTTTAATAAAACTATATGTCAATTTAATTACGAGTAATAAAATTAAAATATTATTTGTGGCGATGGAGCAGATACTAGGGCACTTGGCGTTCAATTCTGGGATTAAAGACTATTTTAAATTAAATTTTTTGGACCTGTTACGAATATTGGCCTACAATTAATAGAGATGGGCGTACCTACACCGTATGGCTATTATATTTTTTTCCTAATCTGTATATACTTTTAAATAAGTTTATAATAGTCACAAAATTAATTTAATTTATAATAATTTCTTTTTAGTAGCGCAAATGCATTTGAAATATAGTGTTGGCAAGATCAAACCTTTCACCCTGCTTTTATTGTGTTTGGAGTGAATGTTAAATGGCGTTTACAAATGCAGGAGAAAAACGGCACATTTACTATTCTCTCCAACATAAGCAAAACAGCACCGAATATTTCATTTTACCAGCACGGTATCCTTAAAACAATTAATATGATTAATTTTTATTTTTCAGAAAAGCCACAAATCTTAGAAACAATCACCAATTATGGTAAGTTATTAAATACAACCTTTATTTAGGTGTGCATGTTTTAAAAACTTTCTGATAATAATTTCCGGTTTATGAAATTTTACCATTATTATCTATCGTTTCCAAACCACAACCAAAACTGGATGGGGTTCATATCTATTTAAGTATACTTTAGTACATTGTGTTACTTAGGCTCCTTTGGCCTATTCCACTTTTGTAATATCTATTACCTTAATTCATTATTTCCACCAAGGTGTGTATACGAAAATGTATGACAGAAAAACTTCAAGGTCATGATTTAGCTCGAACTAAAAACATTAAACTACGCAGTCAAATATAACGAGAATCAGACAAGATAAAAAACAGTGGTACCACCTTTCATCTCTTTATTAATACAATGCCTCTTATTTACGAGTTGAAACTAAGTAATGTACAAGTTCTAGCCAATCAAATTAGTATAACTTTCATTGCAAAGTTTATAAATAGGCCTGAAACGGGAACATCACTGACATATTAATAGTTCTTTGTTAATTTTAGTAATATGTATTAAAATAAATCTTCTCGAATTAAATCCCAAATTTAAGTTGTACATTTAAATTACTATGTCATAAAAATAATCAATGTGCAAAGTTCTATGATCTACTTTACAGTGAATACAATTTGTTCTGTTCTTAAACAAGCGTGTTTCAATCTCCATTAGTTTTTAATGAAGTTAAGAAAAATATTCATCCTTAATCAATTCCTTCAAATATAAATATGATTCATCCTTAATCTACAATACAGGATAAGATCAATAAGTTTTCCTTTTTCATAGTTATTTATAAGTGCTTTTAATTACCATCTAACAATTTAGTAACAATCTTAAGAACTAAAGTCATCATTAAGTTGTTAACTTATTCATGTAATACATGTTTGAAAATGGCTATAGAGCCGAAACAGGTGGCCGTTAGTATTTAAAGAAACAAGGTATAATATTGCACATCTAGAAAGTCTGTACCAATAGAAAAATTGGTTCCTAATGACCCCCAGAGATTAATATCTAAATACAATGAAATGTATTTCAATTAGATTAATACATTATTTGGTAAATGAAAAATTAAACTAGAATGAAGATCTTGGAATTCTGTATTATACTCTTCACATTTTCAATCAGATTTTTTTTCAGAATCAATAGGCTTTATCCCCTTATAAAGCTAAATTTTTCCTAAAGATTTTAATTTGATATAGTTTTTTTATTACTGAGTTAGGATTTTTTCAATATTTCAACCCCTTATGCCCCCATTTTTATTTAATTTTTTTCAAAATCAATAGGCTTCATTCTCTTATAGAGTTTAATTTTTACTAAACATATCACGTTGATATCGCTTTTGGTGTTTGATTTCTATTTTTTTGTATTTCAACTCCCCTTAACCTCTCATTTTATTCACATATTTTTTTATTTCAATAGACTTTGTCTCCTTATAGGGCTTGATTTTTGGAAAAAAAATTCAGGTTTCGTTTTTAAGTTAGGATTTTTTAAATATTTAAACCCTCTTAACCCCTCATTTTCATTCAGATTTTTTTAGAATGAATAGGCTTCTTCCCCTAATAAACCTTGATTTTTCCTAAAGATATACCTATATTTACCGTTTTTAGAAGTGATACCTACTACTAATAGGTTGGCTTTAAAATCAAAACACTTTAGAGATTGCTTGACATTTTATAATATTACTTTAGTTAGTTATTTTTGATCTGTGAATTTAAAAAGGAATGTATTTGCTTGTAGTGTTATGATAGGTATAGAGAATTATTTCCCAACCACGGGTGCATATACTGTCATTTCGCCTGTAGAAGGAATTAAAACTGGTACAAACCTACTTTCAGAAAAAATGGGAATTGAGTTATTACATATAAGATTATGAATAAAACCTCTAACAGCGTAAATTTTTTTAATATGGACACTACATCAATATAAATAGTTAAATAATTTTTCGTCTAGGTATACAATTTATAGATATATAATTCTGATGCCTCAAACTGTACCAACATCAACAAACTCGATGATATAATCTTTAAATACTGTATTTAACCAAACCAATAGGTAATAAATATAATCTTCGAACTCACCTTGTATACCACTTGCTAGCTACAGTTCAAGATTGTTCTTGTTTTATTCTATAGTAGGTAAGTACTTACAGCGAGCACAACGGTTTTTAAATACAATAATGTTCTTTTCCTCTATCTCGTCGGTGTTATCTTGACCTGTCGATATAGTAGGTATCTGTATCTTATTCCAATTATCTATAGATTAACGTTTGTGTTCTTAGTTGGATTGCTAGTTGATTTAGAGAGATGAGAAACATTAAAATTATTTATTATTGCGTTTAAGACGTGTACATAAAATTATTAATGACTTTTCTTAAAATAACGCAATTATGGTGTTGATATTTAGTTTATTCTGGAATGTTTTCTCGAAAACAAACAAAAAACGTTACTTCAAAGATGCTTACTGATTTTATATTGTGAATTTTTAATGAAATTTTAAACTTGTCTTGAAATAGTGTGTTATCTTCTTGTAACGCTGTAGCGAGGTATCATTCATCTTAGCAAAGGAATTACAAAAGCCGTGTGAACACAAAACTACAGTCTGTTCGCTACACTTACGCGGGTTTCGGATTAACAAAATTATGCAAATTAGTCATTGACAACCAGTTCCAATAAGCCTCGTCCCAAGAAATTAGGTAAAATTGCCCTAATGGTCAGATTTAAATTAAAATAACATTGGGGTAGGTACTAAATTTGTTACAAATATTACAGTTGAATTGATTCTTTGCAAGTGATGACATTGTATGTATATTGTAAATTTAGTGGAAATTTAAAAAATGCCTAGACGTGTGTTAGATGTAGATAGTCTAATTTGTAGTGTACATAGGTATTTTACGGATGAAAAAGAAAACAGCGGTCCTTTAAAATCGGTAATGACTGTACAACAACGCGTATGCGATGCTCTAGGAATTAGTGAAACCAAATTAAGAGGAGTATTACAGAATCACAATAGTGAACTGCCGAAAGAAGATCATCGCAAAACTCGCCCATCATTGAAAACGAAAGATATTCCAGATGGAAAGAAATTTGAAATTCGTGATACCATTTATCGAATGAGGTCCAACAAGGAACCTTAAATACAATTCTCTCGGAATTAATAGATAGAAAATTTGACGACATTGGCAGAACAAGTCTATGGCAAGTGATACAGAACTTGGGTTTCAAATTTCAAAAGGAGGATAACAGAAAGGCCCTTTGTGAAAGAAGTTCTGTCGTGCACAAGAGAATTAACTTTCTGAGAAAATATTCTAAATTTAAAAAAGAAGGGGCGAATTTTATATATTTAGACGAAACATGGATATTTTCTACGGGTGCAACCAAGAGAATATGGCAAGATGATAACGTAAAGTCCATCAAACATACCGATGGAGAAGGGAAGCGACACATAAGTTTACATGCAGGAGGGAAATCGGGTTTTATAGAAGGTGCTGATTTAATATTTTCATCTAAATCAAAATCCAGTGACTATCACGATAATATGAACACAGAAATGTTTGTAAAATGGTTGCATGAAAAACTTCTCCTAGGTTTAAGTGAGCCCAGCGTAATTATTTTAGACAATGCACCTTACCATTTTGAAGTATAAACAAAAGTCCAACGAATTCTTGTACTGTTGATAAAATTAAAGAATGGTTGACAAAGGAACATATACCATTTCCTCAATATATATTAAAATCAGAATTATTACGCTTGGCAAATATACACGCAAAACCAAAAACCTTTGTTGTGGATCAGATTATTGAAAGTTACGGTCATCAAGTTTTACGTCTGCCACCGTATCATTGCCAGTTTAATTCCATCGAATACATATGGGGAATAGCAAAACAATATTATGACAACCATATTGGGCTTAATGGTTATAGTGACGACGCAGTTCGGGAAACTTGGCGAAAAGCACTTTCAATTGCAACTCCAGAAATGTGGCGGAACTGTATATCCAAGTGCGAGAAACTAATAGAAGATTGGTGGATTCGTGAAAATAAAATAAACGAAATAAGTCCAATCATAATAACAATTAATGGTGATTACAGTGATGATGATGACGATTATGATATTTTGGATGATAATGACTGATTTTCATTTTTGTTTGCAAGTTCAATTTTTATTTTTTATTTGAAATTCTCTACATGGAACAAATTTTTATGTTATAAAATATTTTATTTGAACTAGATAACCCTCTTATTATACATAGACCATATTTTCTGTGTGAAGTGTAATATTAAATTATTATTAGGTTTATAATAGCCACATTAGACTCCATTAATGAAGAAGTTTAATTCTGCTCTCAATTATACAAAAGATTCTCTATTATTATTTAATTAAAAAAGTTGTAAATTATTTTTCATTTCATTTAACCAGTTGATATTTCCCCAAACAACAGGTCAAACTTTTGGGTACTTACCTGGTAATACTTATAAAAATTTTAATCCGAAACCCGTGTAAGTATAGCGAACAGACTGTATTTAAAGCTGAAAACTAATGATGAAGACCAAAATTTAAAGTGAACGATTCAGGACGATTGACGAAGTCTATTATGGGCGGATCATTAGGGGGAAAGGGGAGGGGGTAAGAGGCTCAAATAAGACAGAGAGGGTCTTAATGGATTCGAACAGGACCGAACTGGTCGTAAATGGCTCGCTCGACAATAAGAAGGTCTTTTCCCGGAAGATTTTCTTGATTTCTCAAAACTCAATTTTTTTATCATCCTTAACTTATTTTTTCAGTAATATCTTTATACCACTTAATAATTTCTTTTAAAAACCAAAAATACATTATAGCTATTTAGGATTTTGGGATAATTACAGGATTCTCAGGTATCCATAAATTTAAAGGTTTTTACTTATTGTCTTAGTCCTTGTTTTAATCTATACTTATTTTTTTATTTTGTAGAGTTAGGTACATTATGCGGTTGCTTTATATAAAAGTGCGTTGTCATT